GGGCTCGGCGGTGATGAGGCAGATGGTGGTCTCTTCGTTGTTGAGCGAGTGAGGAAGGGAGATCTTTCCAGGTTGCAGACGCGCCTTGTCGACGATGTGGCGCTTGGTCGTCAGGTTGAGCCAGATGGGAGTTGTAGTAGGGTCTTCATCGTCGTCGAGGAGATTGCGCTTTTCAGACTCGTCGGCCTTTTGCTTGGCAGCCTTCTTGATGTGTGCGAGAAGAGCCTTGGAAGCTTTCAAGGTCTACAAACGACTTGTTAGATGTGTTGGACCAATGGAGTCTTGGGGAGACGAACCTGGTCAGGGTCAATTGCTGTGACAGCGGCAGCGCCGGGAGCGACAACTTCTTTTGAGGGCGCCATTGTTGTCGCGAAGTTGTAGATGGGATGGGGATGCAACAAAAAAGTTCAGTTTGATATGATAGTGGGGGCTTTATCAGTAGCTCGAAGGAAAAATAATTTTTTTCCTGCGATGGTTGGTTCTGTCGGAATATGCAAGTCCCGGGCTCCGGTCCAGGGTCTCTTAGCGGTGTTTAGGTGCCAAAAATATGGGACAGGCTCTGGCGATATGACTTTGTGCAATTTGGGCCTATGTATTAGTTTCTTGGTCAAAGCTTTTCTAGTAATACTACGAAACCACTCTTCTCTGACTTCATTCTTGTCTCAGAGTTTAATAGTCTTTTATTGAGTGTATTAGACCTGGTGACTGATTCAACTCTGTCTGTATCCTTTTCTTACATCTTACGGGGAGTTTTTAGCGGCGGGGCGGAGTTTGTAGGAGGATCCGCTGATTGTCACCTCACGTTATTCGCATGAGATCCGTCCGGTTGTTCCTTGTTGGGCTTACAAGATGATGAGCTTCTGAATCTTACAACAGAGCATCTCTCAATTTCTTGGTCTATCTTTGTATATAAATTGTACCGCTTCTCTCTCATACCCTTTACACAATGTCCCCCGACCTGCAAGATCCTGCCAATAGGAGAGCTTCCTGTGATCAGTGCAGTATGTCCACCTTTGCCGCTTACACTTGGGGTCCAAAATTATGTTGCGCATGCTGATCAATCTGCAAGGACAAAAGAAGCTCAAATGTGACGGGAGCTATCCATCTTGTGGAAGATGCTCTACTCTCGGAGAGCTGTGCAAGTTCTCGGCGCGTATGCCTATGGGAAGACCTAAAAAGAGGAAGATAGCCTCCGAGAATGAAGGCCAAGAGAGCAGTGCGAGCAGGACATCGCCTTCAACTTTGGCGATGAGTATTGGGAGTGATAATGGAAGTGATATGGGACGAAGAGGGAGCTTCGATCCGTGCCAACACATGTCTGAAGATGCTCCGTTGGATCTGATACCTCTTGGGTGAGTCAACTGAATCGTCACCTTGATGGCCGGGCTGACTCAGATTTAGCAACGAGACAAATGTTGACCCCAAGTTGTTGGCATTTGAATCTGATCCAGGCCAACAGACTTGCGCCTGTCTTGCGAGCTTATACTTATCACTAGAAGAAGTACGAAAAGCAGATGATTTAGCCTTCACAGCACGTTTATCTGTTCTGCGGCATTTGACGACCACGGCAGCAGGGATCATACAGTGTCAAGTCTGTCCAACAAAGTTTCTATGGGCAATGCAGAATGCTCAACTCCTAAACACGCTTATTATATCCTTAGCGGAAGGATATAAAAAGATCGTGAAGTCAGTCGAAGACGAAACGAAACGAGCTCAGGATGCCGCAGAATCAAAAGAATTATGCATAAGTGAAGGCCAAAAGCTAGAGGCGCCGTCACAAAACGATGGGTTAGGATTCTCGCTGAGTCTGGACCCTCAGGATTGGAAAAGTATTGCGAATAAAGCTATCAAATCCGAGCTTTTCGGTACGCCGCATTCTAGTTCCATGTCATTTGTGGCGATGTTGCAGTTGATGGAGGATAGACAGAATTTGTGGCATTCAGGAACGAGTCATGTACCGCCGGGTATAGGACATCGGTTGGCGCATCAGATGCATGATAAGGATCCGCATTGTGTGTCGGTTGTAAAACATACAAGGGATATGATAAGTCACTTGTTGACGGATGTTTGAGTTGTTCGATACCCAAGATCAGGAGCAATGAATTTGCTCTTTCACCTATTCACTTTGAATAATACTATCCCAAGGTGCAGTGAGATGCCTCGGCTATACATGACAAAGGAGGTCCAGTAAGATATAAGTCGTATGATAAACCAGAACATACTCTGAATCGATAAAGGGAAGATGACATGTCTATACTGAGCTTAAACTATCTACATGGGAGACTCGATGGTTAAGCACAATACCTAGCTTCCAGCAAAATATGACTTTTCCAAGTTTTCATGCTCCAACCCGAGGAATGTATTCACAGCAAGTGACTCAATTCCCTCCTTAATCCTGCTTTTCCGGATCCTCAACACGCTTCTGGCTAATAACATGACCGTTGTACTGGGCTCCATAGCGAACATCACCTGGGTCAGCCGAAGGGTAGGGCGCCGTGAAAGGATTCATGAAAACATAGCCATTCATATCAGGCACAGTAGCACCGGTGGGGTCCCCTTCAAACTCGTACTTTCCGCCGTTGTATTGATTTCCCGGTCCGTATTTGCGAGGCCCCTTATGGAACTTCGGGGTTGTGTTCGATCGTACTGGCCTGTTCTTTTGGATTTCCTGAGATAGTTTGCCATCGCCCTGAAACAAATCTCCATTGAACTGATCGTGACCTGGGCCTGCAACTGCGTTGATGTAATGTGTTCCCATGCTGTATCCGTCGGCATGGTCGCTTGGCTGTTCGGGCTGGGAGGCAGACTGATCGTCAGGGGAACCGGTCGAAGCCTTGGTATGGGAATAGGGATGCTGGTTTGGAAATGGGTTCGCGGCCATGGTGGGCGACAAGAAAGATTGCACGTAGCGGTCGTAGAGATATAGAGATTCGAGATCAGGGGGGATACGTGGGACACTTGGCGGATGGGTAGTTTTTGTACTTTCGCGCGAAACGAGAGGGCCTGCAATGGTTTCAGAAGAGGATCGGGAGGAACTATAGTTCAGTGGCCTCTTCTCGGACATGACTTGGATGTCGGTCTGAATCTGATACAAGGCTCTGGACTGTATTTGTTCAATTGCCAGGGACAGATTGCTCTTCTGTCTCTCAAGCCTAACAAAGATATCGAGAAGGTCTTGTTCTCTATACAAGAAGCCCCAGGTTCGGAGTACCCGTCCCTTGCGAAGCAAAGAATTGAGACAGTTGTTGTTGATTATGAAAAGAAGAGCATCAGTCTGCGTGCCAATCTCAGGCGTTTGAAGAAGGGGGTTCTCAGAGATGCTGGTAGAAATGCTCTGAAGTTCTTGGAGCTGCTCATGATATCGTTTCAGCGTCGAAGCACCCCCTTTTATCTTTCTCATGACATCTATCAGAGAAAAGCATGCTACACCAAGCTGGGTCGCCGACGCCGCGACCCCAAGAATCTCTGCCATGATAGCCTCAACTTCGAAGGCGAGGCAAGCAAAATCGTCGCAGGAAAAAGCGGTGAAGAAGTCCCAAGAGCCGTGAATAGCTACATCGACAATGATATCGTGCTTGGGATTCAATGGTGTGGTGTGTCAGAATGCAGGAGAAGTTATGGTTGTGCTAACGTGGCATAAAATTAACCGTAGATAATGAAAATTGTGAAAGGTGCGACCGCAAACAAAGGCCAAGATGTGAGTACGGCATCAAGATTTAGGCATCATTGTGAAGAGGAATTGTGAAAAAAGTGTGAAAGATGGACAGCAGAGCCTCATGTGTCAGACTGCGTTGAAACCCAAGACAGCCAAAGGGGGCGAAGCAGAGTTACACGACAGAGCAAGGCTACCAGTCTAAAGACTCTGATACGTTAGTTATGAGGCGGTCTGGAAGTAACATGAAGATGTTCATCAGGATGATGGGAGACTTTGGGAATGCTCGTGAAGTCGAGACTTGCACTTTGGGGAGGTGGCGTCGGATCGAGTATTGATTTTCGTCTCAGGAGGGTAGAAAGATATTTCAAAGTCTTGATGAAGCGTCGGAGAGTAAAGAAAGAACTTTCTGTGACGATCAAGTTCCAGGGTGCTTGCTTTGGTGATGAGCCTCAGGTCCAATGGTTCTAACACCAAGGTTTCGGCCTCTGCAAGGAACTCGTCTATTGATGTTGGGTTGGGACGTTTCTGGGCAGCGCTAAACTCTGATAAACACTCATCTGGGTCCTAGAATTCATGAAAACGGCCTTTGCAATGGTATAGAAGCCCGGGACCTGGATATCTCAATGTGAAAGAGTGATTCTTTGGGGGCCGATGGAGAGAGAGCCACAAGAGGGAGGGCACTCAACGTCGACCGCCTTCAGAGTCAAATGCAACGTGTTGGCCTTCCCCCAGAGATGAGATCAAAAGAAGGGGCTAAAGTGTCTGATGTGTTGTGCCAATTCACTGGGCTGCGCCGCTTGTTGGTTTGATCGTGCCCAATACGAACGGACTCGCCTGACAGAGAAAAATGTTGACGCCTTCACGGGAACTCCGAGAAATTTGAGAAGGACCTCAAAGTGTTCTTCAGAAGGACAGATTCAAGTTGGGCGATTTTGTTAGACACTGTGGTGCTGTTGAGACATGCCATCGATGTACTGAATACCTGAGGCCTGCAAGAAGTAATAGCTATCACGCACATATTCACCTGCACGCCCTTTACGCAGCCAACAGCATATGCGCATGAGTACAGGGAGGCGACCAACAATGTATTATCAGCATCTGTACGATTGAGCGCATTGGAGTTGGTAAGCTAGTGTATAGTGTTACTACATAGGAACACCCGGACTAACTGATTGTCTGTAAATGCTTAGTTGCTACTCATTATCGCCATATTGATATCGATGTTAAATGAATCGGCAACGTTCCCATTTCTTAGACGGAGTTCCTGCCATAAAGTTAATAACGTCATTGTTGGGACATGGCCGCCTTCGAGGCCACAATCAAGTAGCCACACGGAAGACTGCATATGCACAAGGGTCACCCTTGCAGAAGCGCAAAAAGCCCTCGGCTGTGGTCCCACGCACAATGGCACAATTTGCCAAATGGAACTCGTCCTCCATACATCCATCACACCATCACAACCAGAGCGGATGCAGACCCGTCCATGGTGGGTATGACTTCTCCTATTAAGGATGGTGATGCCTCGGCGTCGGCGAAGCACCGACCAGCTGATACCAAGAACAGAACACTCAGCATCGGCAGCATTAGAACCGATCCTCACATTGGAGCTACCTCCACTGGAAACGGAGATCAAGTCAACGGCAATCAGACTCATACGCAGACTCACAGCAACTCGCACAATACAGTGGTCAACTTGAGTCTTATCAGTCTTAATATAGACTCTGCAGACCTCCTGTATCCCCTGGGCCTGTCTGTACTACTACAAACTTTGGGGGTTCCGGTTCCCCGAGGGCAGGGCTCTTTGAGCTACGAGCCTTTTGTCGTTGTGGCGGCAGGCTTGGCATCAATCAAGCTGTAAGTGAAGATTATCGATGTCAAGGCAAAGCCATACCTGGGCAATAGTCGATGCAATATTGTAGGCAACAAGATCGCTGACATGAGGTACTACATGAAGCTTCAGGCTCCTGCGTGGACCACTCACCAGTCGAGTATGCAGTGATACATTCATGGAAGCGGCTAAATCGCTCAACCATTCGTGCCGAGCCGTTATCGTCCGTGCCCGTCATGAGATCAGAGCAAGGTGTGTTGGCTGAAACTGCTGTCTCCGAATACCCCTCACATAAAGACGAATGAGAGAGTCGAGGGATGGATGAGTGAAACTACATTACTCAGGAAGGTTTGCATTGTTGCAATCCTCTATCAGTATGAGGGATGACTAAAATGAAAGGAAATGATTGCGGAAGAAAAGTTAATTACTGCCCTTTCGGAAGTTTTTAGCGACGGATTATCTTATCTTCACTTCATCGTACATATTCTAATCACAGCACATTCACACCAAGCATGTCTCACTAAGACACCCTTTGGCTGTCAGATCGATGCCAGAGCTGAACAATCTATTGGTCATTTATGATAATGAGGCCTGCCTGGAGCTTGCATACATCACACAGCCACTCCCATTTAATATTTCAGCTGATGCAAGTACGTCTTCGATTATGGTATGCATGCCATCAGATGTCGCCTGTACAGTACCCTTTGACAGTTCGCGGGATTGATCTCTATATCTACCCCTGAGCGTGTTTTGTGGTTGAATATGTGCGATCTGACTTGAGTCATTTTGTTCTCTCTTTGCTCCTTGTGCGACTCATGTGCTTTCCTCCGCACGAGCGTTGTGCTGATTGTGATGTTTGATTGGTACAACTGCTGCCATTCGTCGAAGCCACTGTCGTTGATAAGGCTTCGAATTCCTCTATTAATACGAATTTTAGTTACTCCCGATGAATCAAAAACAAAAGCACTCGTATTTATATGTATATGATAAATATTAGAAGATTTTGCTTATTATGCGATTGACAACCATTTTCGCCTTACTAAGGACGGAAGAAACATAAACTTGTCAATATAAAGAGATTGCAACAAACAGACTACCTGGCTTGAAATTTATAAGCAATATGAAAAATAAGGCCAAGATGAAAATGACAATAAATTAATCTAGCTAATAGACATTCGAGTATAAGATGCCCTTGGGGTTGCTACTGGAGCAAACCAGGCACGGTTCCTCTCATCCCAATACTCCCTTTGTTGACGCATCGGGTTATATCGCCACCATCTGCCATCAGCCTCGAAGATGGGCCTTGGAAATGGATCCTGCTGTCGTCGAAGGGTATCCAAAATCTGTCTGACAGCGAGCAGTGGCGTTGACTCGGACTCGACGTAGTCAATAGCATGCCCAGGAACCTGGTCAGGGAGATTCCAATTCAGGTTCTTGAGAACCAAATAACAAAAATGCTGACAGTTGTTGGTGACCATATGATATGAAGGGGGGTCACCAGGGTGTGAGCGTGAGTTGCCAGAAAAGAAAGCAGCATGGACTTCGTCCCCAGCTCGCTTCAGCCTCGATGCTAGGACGACAGCGCCTGGGACGACGAAAGCTCGGAACCTAGACCGGGTTCTTGTAGGAGTAAAGCTTTCAAGATGGACAGTGCAAGATACGACTCTCTGTCTGGTATCTTTATTGACTCTGATATGGACAATTTTGCCCTCTGGGCTCCCGTCGACACTAGGAACAAAAAATGCCCAGTGTTGATCACAACCACCTCGAGGGCCAGTGAACTGCAGAAGATGCAGGTTCCGTGAGGTAGTAGAACGCGAGGAACCAGATGAAGACATTGATTCTGCTTGAGTCTTGCCCAGATAATATGTGATGGGTAGAAGGTAAAAGTATCCAGTTTGAAGCAAAAGATTGCAGTATATAAAGAGTAGATGTTTTATATGATTTAGAATGAGTAAATTGAGGAAGCATGAATAGCATCTTCTGAGGTATCGACAAGCCTTTATATATCTATACCGGCTCTTCATCAATATGAACCGGCTTATAAATAGAAATGGTTTGCTCTGCAAACCATATTGCGTCGTGCTTGCGGGTAGCCATCAACGCGAGCTTGAAGCCTAAGCGCTGGAGTCTTGAGTGTTGGTTGTGTTATACAGCAAGATGGATGTTGTTTCAGGCTGATGGCCCCCAATGGGCCATTCATAGCTCCGTCCATGGATTCCTTGTTAACTCGTATGATCCTTCGAATGATGCGTATTGAACAATGTGCCTTTCGGACGTTCGAGGCATTCGACTCAAGTCTTGTCTCTACAACATTGCCATCTCTGTTTGGTACGACAACAAGTCTCCAATTGAGACCGCGAAAGACAGGTTATGCAAATGCAAGGCTAGTGAGTGTCATTATCTAATCATTCATTAAAGGGCCCCTTCCTTGAGAATATCAGCTCTCATATTCAACTTATGGGCCATGTAGGCGCTCAGTTTAATTCTCGATGGCTGGACCAATCATTGCTCGCATCTGTTTTTACAGGTACCTGCAAGCGCTAAAAACGGCCCGGCCAAGCAGTCGCGCGGCTAAATTCGGCAGATTCGGGGGCTGTGTTCAGGTCAGGCCAGGCCTGAATCGCGTCAACCAACTTGACCATCGACAGACAAGCCCGGGTGCACATCCGAGCTGAAGGTGCGAGCTCTGAACCCCCCAAAACAAATCTTCTCACCTAAGCTCCCATATTTCTCAAACTCAATTTTTATCTGTTCCTGTTCTATCTCAAGCGCAAGGCAGCGATCAGTATGTCCAGCACCACCGAAGCAGAGCAAGTTGAACAAATTGACTCGGAGCCTGAGAATGAAGATATCACGGATGGCAAACTGCCCAAATATTTAAAATGCAGTTATCTAGACGCCGTTGTTGGCAAAGAGATACACAACTATTGGGGCAACCGAGTTTTGGAGCATACCAACTCCCATGGCGAAGTACTCGCACTAAAAGTCAGCAACCCAGATGGCATTGACCGCGCTCAAGCCGACATGATGCATTACGCCGCAACGCATGGCGTGTTAGCACCCAAGGTCCGCGGAGTCTATGATATTATAACCAGACGGCCTATTGCACGTGTTATGATCAGTGAGCGTGTCCCTGGTGTGCCGCTCGTTGATGTATGGCAGAACATGTCTCAAGCTGAGCAGGCTTCCATCAAGGAGCAGCTTCGAGCTCAGATAAAACAAATGCGTACTTTGGTACAGCCTTACATAGGCCGTATCGACAAGCAACCTATCCGCAACATATACAACACCACATTTGTTAGGCATTGTGGCCCCTTTGAAGACGAGGAGTCTTTTGATGAATGGTGTCTGGCAAGACTGCCAGGTGGAAGCTTTCAACGCTGGAAATGGAAGAGAGTCCTCGAAAAGCAAAGACGTAAATCAACTGGACGTTTCGTTCTTACTCATGGTGATCTTTCACCGCGCAATATCATGGTTGATGGAAGTACCATCACAGGGATAATCGACTGGGAGCTGAGTGGGTTTTATCCAGAGTATGTGGAATATGCGGTAGCCATGGGTCTTGGCCCAGGGATAGAAGAATGGTGGGTTCCTGTATTGAAAGAGGTACTGGAACCATGCTCGACAGACCTAGTAAAGTTCACAGAGCTTATAGAAGAAAGAATGGGATCTTACTAGGCTATTTAAAGAAAGGCAGAGTTGTTATAATATGGACTTGCACTAAAACTTTACCACACTATCTATATCACTTTATTCTTTTGGTTTCTGAGCCCAGACAACCTTCTGCCGATAATAAGGATGCATAGTCCCCTGTCTCAACTCCCTTCTTAGCATCGAGATATACACCTCGACCTCCGCCTTAGTCCAGCCCTCCACCGTGTTCGCCATGAACAAGACATAACCTTCAATATCCTGCTCAAGCGTAGCCTGAGCATACTTGCCAATTTCCTTCATCCTGGGATCCTTTGGCCAACCTCCAATGGGGACCTATCGGAGAGAATTTGTAAGTGCAAGCCAAACGGCCACAGAATGAGAGTCACTCACCTTGAAGTCACGTTCCTCAAGATTAACAAAACCGGCCTTCTCCATAGCAGATCTCTGCACTCCATCTTCAACGATCGTGAACGAACGGCCGATCTTCTTTCCACCCTCAACGAAGAATTTTCCCCACTGGTGCATAGCGCTCTTCTCAGTGATACTTCCGTCATCGCAGTCCATTCTGGAAAGAGCCTCATGGCTTTCAATATAACCTCCCGGCTTGAGACACCTATACGCTTCTTTGAAGAGCTGTTCCCAGTCTACGATACTGCCGACAAGCCAACGGAAGTGGATGTAATCCTGCGAGTTAGGGGCGAACGTCCACTCTTGGGTGCAGTCTTCGATATCGCTAGCGAAGTATCAGATATGTCAACAGTCATGGTTAGGTCTCTTACAATCTCAAGTTGGGAGGGATCCAGCCCGGTTGAATTGGCGATATATCGGTGCCTATTACTTGCGTGTCTGGAAAGCTATCCGCGAAATCGCTGCAGAACCCAGTTAACAGAGATTCCATAGCGGTAGGGATAGAGATACTTGCATAGCCCAGATGCCTAGGGAAAGTTCATATCAGCTCAAGTTCGTCGAGAGATTAACCTGGACCACTTCTGCACATATGTAGTGGACTTTGTGGCCAGAAGCCAGGCTGCGCAACATTATCACTCTGGAGCTTACCTGTCCCTGTTCCAATATCGACGACACTCTGTTCTAGTCAGCAAAGGTATTGTATGACTACCAGCAATAACACACATTGATATCCTTCGCAAGAGGCGCAAGGTACAGCGCACCGTCCAAAACCAGCGTCAAAACATGATGGCTACGCGCATTAGCATCCATCATCAGCTTGCGATCAGTAAACATACTTGATATCCATCGATTCTTTCTGCTTCTCGTCATTCGTTCCCCTACATCTATTAATCCCGTACGTATCGTCGACTCTTCCGATAACTTACCAGTACTGCGCATTGCCGATATCGTGGTGATATGTTCTGCCGTTGATGTTCCTATACTCGAGAATACTTGAAGTAATTGATGCAGTCGACTCGGCATTATCGTCTCCCAGAGCAGAATCCGTGTCACCCAACTCCTAACTTCTGATCAGTGGCGTGATCGTGGTCTTCGAAATCATATCATACGAACCTCAGCTAACTCAGCCCAATGCTCAGGAGGAAGAAGACCAGAGACGTTTGTAGCTGCTTGAGCAGGCCCAGACTCATTCGACTCAGTCATATTTGCACTGTAGGGCTAGATGAAGGGGTAAAAATTGAAGAGTAAGGTATATACCTGCGTTGTTTGTCTTTGCTTCCATGGAACCAACATGTACGTTTGAATTGCCATGCCACGCTTCGCGTACCGGATATGGTCATGGACCCCGAGAAGATACGGCACAGTAAAGATATCCTGGGTCCAGTCCTATGGGATCCTTTGATGGAGTTGTAGTGCATAATAACTGGGTATACTACCCCTACAAGTGCCTGTTATTCTGGCATGGCCAACTCCACAATTGTTTAAGTATCGCTAAATGTTCAATTCTCACCTCTTCTCTAGTCTCAAATAAGAAAGAGAGGAGTGCTTGAGCATAAGGATAACATAAGGGCAACATATTGGCTAGAGAGTTTAGATTTCCTCTATACAGCCGCTATGTGAACGCGTAAGGACTACAGATACTCTCTAAACAGTTGGAGCTGCTAAGCAAAACCATCACAGTAATAGATATGGTAGTCCAGCAAGGAACATATCGGATTTCATTGAATTCTTCAACCGAAGTAACCCAAGATCTCGCCTTGTAGTTGCATCTGACACGAAGTTCAGCCCTAAAGATAATCGACCTAATCTAACAGCGCCACGTGTTTCACATGCAGCCCATTCAACTACCCCTCTATTCAAGATCACTTCGGTTCATAAAGGGCAATATGAAGTGTTTAGAATCAACAAATCAACTGCTGTGTCTATAACAAGCAAACCTCAGGCCAGGCAGTCTCCATGGCTGATCCACTATCCATCGGAGCCAGCGTCCTGGCATTCATTGGCCTTGCCGACCGCATCATCCATACGTGCAAATACTGCATTGAAGCCGTTGAAGATGCACCGAAAGACATTCAGATGGTCCTAGGCGAGGCTACTTCGCTAAGAGCTATAATTGATAGTATTGGCGAATCAAGTGCCACGAGCCTTGTGCCAAATCTTCACGAACAGAATGGACCTATCAAGTCTTGCCACAGCTGTCTTGCTTCAATTGAGGCTCTTCTGCCAGACACCATGGGTCAATACAAGACAGGCAAGAGGCGTAAGCTAACACTGGTTGATCTCGCATGGCCTTTGAAGCAATCCAAAGTTAGGAAGCTGTTGGCAGAGATATCTCACCATAAGGCTACCTTATTGCTGGCGATGTCCGGTGATATGAGGTAGGTCTAGAGTCGCTTTGCGAAAGTTGTGGTTAACAGATTCCATCCAGTCGAGACCTGAAGGAAATCAAAACAGGGATCGAAAGACTACAAGGGACAATCTCAGGTTGGTGATTCTCATTGATGCCTGGCCTGAACTGACGTTGTCAAAGAATCCGAAGCCCGGGAGACCATCCGATGGCTTGAACGAACAAATCCATCGTCTCTCCACAACATAGCGTTTAGCAAACATGAACCCTTGACAACAGCCTGGGTTAACAATTCTTCCCAGTGGAAGGCTTGGGTGTCATTAGCCTCTGAGACGAGACTCATTTGGATACATGGGCTACCTGGTGCAGGCAAAACAGTTCTAGCATCATACGTCATCGAAGAGCTCGAGAAACTGTGTGAAACTGCCAATGGTAGTGTTTGCAGCTACTACTACTGCCACTACTCACACAATCAGGACGAAACGGTGCCATTGATGAGCTGGGTCATTGCCCATATCTGTCGACAGATCAACTGGATACCAACTGAGTTGAAACGACTTCATGACCATGGTTGCGAGCCTACTATCGTGGACCTAGGAGTTGTCCTAGAGGTAATCCTACAGCGGCTAGACAGTCTTTATATAGTCATAGATGCCGTTGACGAGAGCACTGCTCGGGAAGAGCTTCTGTCGTTGATTGAGACTATGACAGTCGATAAGCGGTTTGAAAAAGTCAGGATATTAGCAACAAGCCGGCAATACTTTGACATAGAAAGGTCTTTGGGTGAGATATCAGAAAGAATATCAATGTCAAATACAATGGTAGACGCTGATATTAGACGGTTTGTACACGCTCGACTAAGGTCAAGTCACCGACTGAAGAGATGGCACGAGCGATTCGACGAAATCGAGGCAGTTCTAGCTACCATGGCTAAAGGAATGTGAGAGCTCTCTTTCACTATGATATGATTTAAAAATTCCTTACTTTCGACTGAGCTAATTTAACGCTACAAGGTTTCGATGGGCTGAATGCCAAATTCAAGCTATAGAGCGACTTCGTGACCAATCGAAACTACAACTACTTCTTTCCAACTTACCCAAAGATCTGAGTGAGACTTACGTCAGAATATTCGAAGCAATCCCCGAAGATGATAGACCGCTCGTTCGTCGTGTCCTCACTTGGATCATAGGCCATTCGCAGGCCGCTTGGCTCTACGACGTTGGCGTCAACGCGAACTTGCTTCTGTCGGCTGTTACCTATGAGCATTTCGGATACGAAATCGAAGGTCAAAACTCCATCATAGACTTTGAATACCTGCAAGAGATATGCAGCTGCCTCATAACAGTTCGATACGTTCCCGGGGATATTTTCGATAGCCGCCAGGAAGATTCTACTGGATTACAGGCTGAAGAAGCAACTGGCGGACAAGACCTCTACGTATCTCTCGCTCACTACACAGTTCTGGAGTTCTTAGTATCGCCGCATGTCTTTCAACCCAACTTTGCATTCTTCGCCATGTCTCCCGAGCTGATTCGACTGAAATTCGCAAAGAGCGTCCTGAAACAAGCCCTAGCGGCTGATCCAGAAGGGACAAATACTGATTGGATCCACTCCCGCGAGGCCTATTGCCTCACACTCGGCTGCGCTTTGTATATTCATGATATCCTAGCAGAGTCTGATCTCCAAGACCTCTTCTTACGGTATATCAATCCTTGTTCCCCGCACTATTCGCGCTTCGAAGCCATTCAGTCGAAGATTGTGCAAAGCGATGAAAACTCTAGCTGCTACTTCCTCCGACACATTCCAGCTCGATTCCACTGCTCAGAAACGAAAGACACATGTTTTGGGTCAGCTGCAGCATTGATGAATCTTCTTTTGCTCCGGCATCAGTCTATTCAAAAGGGGCTTATGCCGATGATTAGAAGGTTGCTCGAAGGGAGACCTGTACAAGAGTTTCTTAATGTTAGAGTGACAGCTACGTTTCTTGATGAAGCTGATGAAGATTTGGATAGGAATGGGAGTCGTTTATGTCAAAACACATTGAACGGAATGGTCTGGGAGATAGTGCAGTGGAGGCAAATCTTTCTAGATGATGAGGAGCTTTCTGAATCTTTTGATATGCTATGGCGCCATTTGGGGTAGATATACTTCACCTGTCTATACGATAGAGATGAGTATTAATTTAATGATTATATTGATACTCTATCAATAAGTTGGTTGCAGAACTGTAGGTTCTGAGCCGTCTTCTATCTACCCACGTAACATGTTATATACTCTAGAGCCATTATATTGCCACTACTCGCCGAACTAGACGAACGGTGTCATTTGTGAGCTGGGACTAATTTCCCCATGCTGCTTCAAGCTCCCAGCCACAAACCTCAATTCCAAATAACATGTCTGGATCACAAGAACGATCTGGGAGATGGGATGCGATAGATCTTTCTTGACTATGGGGAATCTTCGGAATTTTTCGATGAATCATAGCGCTATTTGGGAGAAATACGAGACTGAAACTTTTAATATCAGATAGGAATGAATATTAAATAAATGACTATTGACAGGTTAATGTTAAGATTTGCAACTCCTTGTTTCCGCTCACGTGACATGTCACATGCCCGAGAGGAATTTGTTCCGCGCAATGATAAGAGCAATTTTTCGACTTTTAACTCGTAGCGAAATCGCTAAGCGATAAGGTACCTTTATCAAAATGAATTTCTTCAACCCGTTTTCGCGACAAGGGGCTCTATGGACGTTTGTAGGCCGTACATCGTCATTTCCAGATGTAGGCGATGATGCAGGCAACTTGGCAAAACATCGCTTGTGTAACGCAAAATCAATACCAGGCTGCAAAGCATTCCACATACCAAAGGAAGACGTCTCTTCGTCAAAAGAAGTTCCCGTCGGCGATGAATCTACGTTGGAGTCATTTGTGGATCAGGTGCTTGTATTTCAATACAAAGGCAAATTCCATGCAATCGACCATGTGAGCAAATGTTGATAAGAAAATTATTTGCAGGGGCTAACAAGGGTAGTCATGTCCACATAGCCAATACCCTCTTTCAAAAGGGACGCCGTTCGACATTGAGGACTTTGGCGTTGTACTTAGCGCTGGAGTGTCGTGTCCCAACCATGGTTGGTCCTTTGATCTGTTCACTGGCATGTCAGATCGGGGGAACTACAGACTCCAGACCTGGGAGGTGGAGATCAGGGATATGAAAGAAACGGAATCCACTGATACAAAAGAGAAGAGTGACTTGTCCACGGATCAAGAGGTTTGGGTCAGGAGGAAGCAAAGGATTGGCTGAAGCGATGCCAGGGGGTTCGCCAGGCGCAGGATAATGGCAGGTGTTGATGAATGCTCTGGGTACCAAGGAAAATGCATATCATGAGCGGGGATAAGCGAGGATGCACGACGATTTTCTCCAAAGCCAGTCACGGCTACCAATTCGGCACTTGACAGGTTTGACAATGGATTCCAATTTCTCAAGACATCCTCCTGTACAACTCAAGGACAAGCCTGGCGTGTCACTTTATCCCTTTATTTCTTGATTACGAGATACAAATTACCTACACGAGGATTATTCCTTCTCCCTGCAGCCATACACACAGGGTCCAGCCAGGCCAACTAGAACATCAGAGTCCTCGAGACGGAAGGCCGAGAGCTTTACGCTAGGACGAGACAGAAAAGAGCATGAAATACCAGCCCAGGATTTATAGAGGGAAGACTTTGCAACATCGTGAGTTTCCTAGTCCTTTATCGGAGGGCCGGGGGTCCTATTCAAGTCAAAACCACGGCGTATCAATTGTTTCATGGCGACAGTGAGCGTGACGAGCGGACAACCCGATGACTTACGGA